GCGGGGCATGTGCAAAAGGAAATGATTTCTGTGAATGAGGTTGGACAGCTGTGTCTGTAGAGCCAGCGTGAGAGGGAGGGGTGTCTGGGTCATGGAGCCGCACCCCTGCACGGCTTCGTAGCAGCTCCGTGTGTCCTGGGAGCTGTAACCGCCCTCCATTCGCAGTTCTGTCTTAAGTGGAGTGGGAGGCGCAATGTGTTACCCGCTTTGGTTGCAGCCAACAAGGAAAGTACATGAAAACACCTGGAATAGGAGACTTTTAGAAATCACAGGTGCTTCTATAAACACAGTTCCCTTTGGGGTCTATGTTCTAACGTTCCCGTCATTCCTAGGTGAGCTGCTCTGTAGGTTGTCGTGGGAGAGAACAGGTAGCCATGCCTGACGTTTAAGCTGCAGGTTCTGCAGCCCCTGCTGCGAACGGACCTTTTCTAATGTCCACCCCCCCGCCCCCAGCCCACCCCGGACTGAACAGCTGGCTTTTAGCTGCGCAGTTGACTGCAGTGGAGGCCCCTTCATGACACCCGAGCGGCTGCAGTCGGTGCTCCTTGGGGCGAAGGCAGCATTTCCAGGGCCTCACGGTGACCAGGCTGAGGATGGCGCACAGGGCAGTGCCCTCCAGGGCCTGGCAGAGGGAGGAGGCGGTGGGGACACTGGGACACAGACCTGAGGAGGCTCCGCTCACTCACTCACTCACCAGACTGAGTAAATCCTCCGTCTGCACGATCCCCCTTACGCCGTGTGTCAGGGTCAGGAGAGGATTAAGAACCGCGTAGAGACGGGCAGAGCTATAGCTTTGAAAAGTGGCTTCTCTGTGAATAATTCTAACTGAGAAAGAATTTCTTCTGATCTGGGCATCGGTTCCTTTGAGAGAACGGGGTGCCTGGGAGGTGGCGGCGTCTGTTCTTGGCCGGAATTTGACGTGGGGGGCAGCGCCCTCGCACTCTCCGGGGGAAAATGTGTGGAAATGGGCGTTTCCTGCTTTTAGACTCTGAGCTGGGCAAATGCACTGGGTTTTTCTTTGTTTGTTTGTTTGAATTAAAGGTTCCTAGAGTGTGGGGAACGTCAGGGTGTGCTAGATGGCGGGTTGGGGGAGGGTGCTGTCTGTTCTGTGATGATACGCAGCAGCATCCGCCTCGGCCGCGGAGGCCGGCCTCACTAGGAATGCACACGCCGTGGGCGTCTGGAGAATGCGCCACTCGCTGCCAGACACCCTCACTGGGATCCTGTTTAAACCATTCTCGAGGTTACCCCGAAGCAGCAGGAGGACAAAGAATTGTAAAGGCGATCCTAGAAATATTTAAGGACAGTGATTGGACCCGGCCGGCGTGGCTCAGTGGGTGAGCGTCGACCTATGAACCAGGAGGTCATGGTTTGATTCCTGGTCAGGACACATGCCCGGGTTTCGGGATGCGCCCCCGGTGGGGGGCGTGCAGAAGGCAGCCGATCCATGATTCTCTCTCATCATTGATGTTTCTATTTCTCTCCCTCTCCCTTCCTCTCTGAAATCGATTAAAATATATTTTTTAAAAAGAAAAAAAATATGACATGAAAATGAAACAGTCTCAGAGTTAAAATCACATCACTTAAGTATAGAATATCCTTTAAAATAAAGATTCAAATGATAACAATTCCCATCCAAAATGCAGTGTGGCTTAAGAGGTGCTGTTAAGCCCCGCAGGTGTGGCTCAGGGTTGGGCGCCCTCCTGGGCACACCAAGAGGTTGCGGTTTGATTCCCACCAGGGCACAGGCCCGGGTTGTGGGCTCGATCCCCAGGGTGGGGCGTGCAGGAGGCAGCCGACTGGTGTTTCTCCCTCTCCCTTGGTCTCTCTCTAACATCAATAAAAACATGTTTTAAAGAAGAAGACACTGCTAATATCGGGCCCAGCTTTGTCTCAGATGAAGGGAGAGCCGGGCAGGAGGTGGTCGGGGACGAGGGCTGCAGTGGCCTCTGGAACATGGTCCCTGAAGCAGTGGCTGCTTAGAGCGTCTTCTGAAACCAGGACAAGCTGTTGCCACAGGAGCCAGGAACCCAGGGCTGCAAGTGGGGAGAAGGCGCATTGGCTGCGGGGGAGGGGGGCAGGTGAACTCCCTCCTGCAGACTGCGGGAGGCCCCGCCTGCTTCCTCCCACTGCCTGTGCCCCTCAGAACTGGCTGCCCGGGGCCCCCCTGACCCCTGAGAAATGTCTGCCAGGTGTTGGAGGTCTCGCGACACAGCTCACCCTTCAGACCTGGGAACTGTCACCAGCCATCTCTGCCGTCTAATGCAGGGAAACCCTTTCTGATGTCTAACGGTATCAAACACCATTTGCCATGACCTTGACAAAGGACGTTTCAATGTCAATGTTTGCTTTATGAAATTATGCCTCCTTCGCAGCACGAGGTGTGCCGGGAGCCAACTCCAGCAGGTCAGCAGGGCTGAATCACCTGGAGGTGGCTGAGGGCATTTCCCCAAACCTGAAAAAGATGCATAAAATGATTGCTTGCTGCCAGACAGCAGAGGGCATCTCAATCTACATGTTATTGCCTTTTCCTGGCCAAACATCTGATCAGCCGTAGGCAATTCTTCCAATCGGACCATGGACTCTGTATACTAAACCCTGGCCTTTGATGTCTCTCTACCTCGCCTTAGGACAATTTGTGTGAATAAAAAGCAAGGGGTCCTGAGACAAGGGAGAACTTAGTTCCTTTAGCTAAGTCTTCTCTGACTCCCCAAAATGCCTTTCAAAATTATGTTTCGTCTCTGGACTCTTGATTAATTTACACACAGCCTTTCTCCAGATTCCTGACCCTTCTAGATGCTGGATCAAGACCCCCTGGCAGAGGTGTCCCCCATTTCCCTGACACCCCCAGTGGACACTTGCAGAGCGACACCTGCACCCATCGCAGTCTCTGTGGACCATGGGGGCAGGATGGGGGGGGGGCGGCGGCCAGGAGCCCGTGGGCCCCTGTGCACGGTCCTGCTCTCCCTCAGAGGCGGCTTCTGCTGGCCCAGGGGTCCGACACATCCCGCCAAATTAAAGCTCTGGCTGCCAGACTAAAGGGACCCGTTGGCCTGTGCTCATAACAGGCCAATCAATGTGAACAGGGGTTTGCAGACGATAAAGTTGGGTTTATTAGTTGAGGACATGGCACCGAGCCCAGAGTCCCAGGTGAGCTGGTGCTCAGGGGCCTGGCCCCCGAGGGGGTGGGGACAGGGAGAAAACTCACTCCTCGCGGGACTAAGGGGGCTGGTGTGGGCTCTACTGACGGGTGGGCCAGGGGAGGGCGTGGGTGGTCATCGCACAGCCCCGGCGGCAGCCGGGCGTCCTTCTGTCTGGTTTCGTGAGCGTGTGGTCCGTAGGGTCCTCCATGTCCCATGGGCCTGGGGCTGAGACGCCTGAAGCCCCGATGCCTTTCGCTTCACAGGAACTCTGCTTCTGCGTCAGCAGCCCCGGCGTGTCATGGAGTCGGCGCGGTGCTGACCGATGGGAGGTCCGCGGCTTGATGGTTGAGGAGGGGCGTGGGGGACAGAGAGGAGAGGGCCGCGGTGCAGACTTGGAGTTCTGTGTGGCTACGCTCCCTCCCAGGTGGGATCCGGAGGAGCCAGAAATCGTCAGAGTTCCCTCAACAGCTTTTGTCCAGAAGACGTGACCTGCAGGCTCCATGTCCAGGACAGCAGGCCTCCTTGGTGACCCGGCTCAGGGCTTCAGCCCGAAGCATCAGCGGGGTGTGGGTGGCGGAGGGGCCCCTCAGCCTCCTCCTCCTGAGAAACTCGGGGCGCTGAGCGTCTGTCCTTAGTCGGACCCGGTGACGGGAGCAGAGAGCTCCGAGCAGCTTCCCTGGCAAGTCCAAACGTTTCCCATGAACTTGGAATAGATATTTCTATTTAACAGACTCTACGAAATGGCTTTGACGGGAGCAGAGTGCTCCGAGCAGCTTCCCTGGCAAGTCCTAGGGCAAGTCCAAACGTTTCCAACGAACTTGAAATAGATATTTCTATTTAACAGACTCTACGAAATGGCTGGTTACTTATGAATGGCGTCTGGTTGGGTGAGAGCTAAGAAGGACATTCTACGCGGAAAGGCAGCTTCCGTGTTGAGAAATGCGAGCTATAGACCCTGCACTTCCATAGGTAACATAAGTACGATTTGGGGGGAAGCTTATAAGTTGAATGAATGAATCTCCAACATTTCCCTGTGACGGTGCCCCCCGCCCCCAGTGACATTTGTCACAGGCCTCCGGTGTGCCCGTGGGCATGTCAGGTGCTTGCAAGTCATCGTCCTACAGCAGGGCACAGAGCCGGGCGCTGAACCAACAGCCTCCCTTGGGTCTGCTGGAGAACTGAGGTCACAGGACAGCCGTCACCCCGGGACCGTAAAGACAGGCAGATGTGCTCTCCTGAGCAGAAGGTTCTGGAGCCAGTCACTGGCCGGACCCTCACCCCAGAATCTCTACGCGGTCTCTCCCCAGGGCTCTGAGGTCTGAGGTCCTCACGCCGCCGCCTTCAGGGCACCGGGCTTCCTTCCAGTCATTCCAACGTGAGTGTCGGGTGGTGATGCTGCTGTAGGCAGGGGTTTCTGCCAGATGAGAAGGTTGGCACCGTTCCCATTGCCAGAGACTTTTGTGCTTTCTCAGGAGTTGAAGTTCTGCAGCCAGAGACTAGATTTCAAGTGCAGGGAAGACAGATAAGAGGAAGGAAGGGCAAATATTCTGCCGACAAGCACTTCATCGGCATCTGGGTCGGCCATTCCCCCCCCCACCCCCACCCCCAGAGAAGCCTGCTGGGCCTGCTCCCTCCCGGGGGTGAGGACCCCAGAGTCTCTTCCCTTTTATAAGAAGCTCCGGGTTCTTTTTCTGCAGCTGCAAATGCAGGCACAAGTGGTATTTAGACAATCCTGAGAGGCAGTCCCTCTGCTGCTCAAACCCACGGGAACCACTAGGAATCCAGTAGGAGGAGACCTGAAGGAAGTGAACTATCGGGAAGGCTGTGCGGTGACTGTGCCTTAGGTCTGTGCGATCCCCCACACTGTCTCACCTGCAGGGATGTCAGCATCTCTCGTCGCCAGGAAAGACCCCTTCCTGCCTTGGTTTCCCCGCTCTCAGGCATCTCACCATGGGCCAACACACATGCTATTTCCCCCTCTGAAAACGAAGAGCAGAAAGATGCCCGGGCCTCCCTGACCTACTGGCTCCATCTCCTGCACCGTGTCTCTGCCAACAGCTGGAGCAAGACTCCGCCGCCTCTCCATCATCCTCCTGTAGTCTTAAACCACTTCACGGAATGCTTTGCTCCTTCATAGAACTCTTTTTACTGAGGTGTCCTGACCTTGCAGGGGAGGACCTTTTTTCCTCCACCCGCTTAGGTTCTCAGCTGGGACTCTGTAATAGAAGACAGATTAATTAAATAAAAACACGTTTATGAGCATGTATCATACATGTATCACCTTGGAGTACTCAGAAATGAGGAGCTCAAAGAGGCGGCTGAGAACTCAGGCTGACCCGGCTGCTTCAACAGGGACAGTGCATTTGTAGAGAAATGACAGGACACAGGGAAGTCTTTTAAGGCTTCCAGGGCTGGCAAAGTGTGGGACGACAAATGTATGGGACGCTGATGGTGGAAAGAAAAAGGCTGTCAGTCAGGTTTGTTACGAAGACTCCTCTGCACCCTCCCCAGGCTTGGGGTCTGAGTTGTTTCAGGGCATTAACCTTTGTCCTTCCGGATGGAGAGGAGAGGAAGCCATCTCTGAAAGTGTGTGGCTTGCTTTTAGCTAAATTCGGGGAGGGCAGGGGGCTCCTCTTGTGTCTGCTTCTTCTCCCTTGCCTTCAGCTCAAAACAATCCTTACGGCAAGGGGACGTCTCGTGGGTGTCACCTCCTGGTTGCCTCCACCTTCAGTCGCTGAGTTCGAGGTCATCCTCAGCGCTCGGCTCTCCTGCCTGTCAGCACTGGCACCATCCGCTCTTTCCTGCAACGCTTGCTTCGCTGGGCCTCCAGGACACCACGTCCCCCTGCGTCTGCTTCCCAGTCCCGTGGCTGGTTTCTCCTTTTTCTTGGCAGCTCAGTGTTGAGGGCGCCTTTCCTCAGCCTTCACTGAGTCCCCCTCTGCTCTCATCCAGCCTCGGGGGTTCCAGTGCCATCATATGCTAACGACGCCCAAGTTAACGTCTCCACCGCACCCTGGGCCTCAGGTCACCGCGTGCTCGCCGTCTCCGTCTGAACGCGCCGTACGCACCTCAGATGTACCAGGTCCACACTTGGTCCTAATGTTTCCCCCACACTCTCCCACCTGTGCTCTCCAATCGCAGTTTATGGGAAAACCAGACTTTTAGTCGCAAAGGCTAAAACGCTTGGCGTTATCTTTGCCTCCTCTTTGTCCCTTTCACCCCAAATTGGAGGCAGATTCTGTTGCTTCTTCCATCAGAATAAACCCACAAATCCCCCACTTTTCCCTGCTTCCCCCCTGCCTCCCCCGCCACGTCTCACATCCCATTTCTCACCTGCTTCACTCCAGCGGCCTCCTAGCTCGCCCGGCCTCCGCCTTTGACCTCACCTTAAAGCCTGTCGTTCATCCTCAAGAAAGCAGCCCGGGAGCCTGGGAAAAGTAAGTCCAATCGTGTCCTTGCAAAGCTGAAGAGTCAATACCAGCTTGTCCTTTGGCTGGAGTGGAAGCTGACGTCTTTGGCATGACCTTCAGGCCCCCCAGACACCCCTCATCCCCCCTGACGCCTCCACTGCCCCCCACTTCTCCCGCTCAGCCTCGCTCTCCTCAACCGAGGCCCATCGCAGGCTCCCGGCCCCGTGGAGCCCAGCACAGCGGCCTGGACTCCGTTTGGTTTGTGCAGCACAGGGATCTGGGCGTCGCCTCTCCATCTTTACGGAGCGGGAGTGGGCACGGCCTCCAGCCACACTGGTTTCCCTGGGAACCTCCGTGAAGCTGCGTCGGTCAGCAGCCTGAGGCCGACGGGCCTGGGTGGAAGCGGGAGAACCATCGTGAAGACGTGCTAAGCAGCTCCAGCAGGTGGATTGTCAGAGCAGAATAGTCTACATCAGGCACGGCAGACTCGCCAGCCTTGTCATGCGGCCCGCCGGCCGCGAGGCTGACATGCTTGGTCTACGTTCTAATTCATAAGCCTGGTCTGTGAGGAGAAGCAGAAGCGTCCCCACAGCGCTGGCTTCTCGGCTTCAGAGAATCCCAGCCGCCAGCGATCCATCACTTCTTCTCGCGGCTGCAACAAACGGCGAAATCACGCTGGCCTGCAGCGACACGCAATTGTCATCTTGCAGCTCCGTCGGACAAACTCGGACCCGCCTCCCGGGCTCAGCCAGGGCGTGCAGGGCTGTGCCCCGTCGGAGGCTCAGGGGAGCGCCTGGGCCCTGCGGCCGCGGTGACCTGCCCCCGCCGTCAAGGCCAGGAGGGCCAGTTCCTTCTCACACCCCACGCTCCACCTCATGGCCATTGTCAGCTGCTTCCTGACTTGCCTCTTCGGCCGCCTCCTCCTGCTGTTCGGGGCCCCGATGGACAGTGGACCTTCCTGGGCAGCCGTGGTCACCCCCCTCACAGGCGCTGCGGCAGCCTTCATCTGTGAGGCAGCACGTCTGTAATTTAGCACAGGCCCCCGGTTAGGACGCGGTCATCGCCGGCGGACGGTGTTCTGCCAATTGCAAACAGCACCTGCAGAGTCCACTCTGGGTTAATGGACACGCAGAACACACGCAGAAGAGAGAGAGGAGGCGGCATCTAGCAATAAACGAGGTGACGTTCTCTGTATTGTTCAGAGGAGGCCGTGTCCAGCTGTGGGAGTCCGTCTGGACTCTGTCCCATCCGCGGCCTGCCGTGTGGCTCATGCTCGGTGACTGGACTGTCCCTGGGTGCACATGGCTTATGTCAGCGGCATAAATGCTCTCCGTGGCTGATCTCCGAGAAGCTGTGTGCTGCCCGGCCGGCCTGGCTCAGGGGTTGAGCGTCGACCTATGAACGAGGAGGTCAGGGTTCGATTCCCGGTCAGGGCACAGGCCCGGGTTGCAGGCTCGATCCCCAGTGTGGGGCGTGCAGGAGGCAGCCGATCCATGATTCTCTCTCATCCTTGATGTTTCTCTCTCTCTCTCCCTCTCCCTTCCTCTCTGAAATCAATAAAAATATATTTAAAAAAAAAAGCTGTGTGCAAGCTGTGTGCTGGCAAACATAGACGCAACTCCCAGTGCACTGACGCGGCCGCTGTACACTTCAGTGTGTCGGGTATAATGGGAGCTCTGGGGAGGGAGCACAGCGCAGCCAGCTGGTCCACAGTGAGAGCTCCTGCGTGGCCGGCCGGGTTCCCTGTGATGGCAGCTCGCGCAGGCGGTGGGGACCTCGCTGGCTGACCTGGAAGAGGCAGGAGCTATTGCCTGGTGCCTCCTGCTTGTGCAAGCGAACACAACAGCGCGATGGAGCGCAGTTCAGCGAAGTAAGAGAATGAAGAAACCCAAACAACGGGCCTGTCAGACCCCAAAGAAATGGTGCTCCTCCGTGGAGCTCCGGCCGTGCTGGTGGCGAAGAGGACGTGCGCATCACTGAAGGGAAGTCTGTGAACAAACGCCAGCTTATTCCCAGCATCCCAGCGAGCCCTGGAGCTGCGTGTGCGCAGGCAGCCTGCACACATTTGATATCTGAACATCGATACCTGAGCGCCGTGCCTGGCGGGGTCAGGACTCACTCAGAGGCGCTGAGGGCCCCCTGCGTGCAGCCAGACCCCCCAGGAGTTCATGCCCCGCGGGCATCAGCACAGAGGGCTCCAGGCTTGCGAGGGGAGTGTGGGCGCCACTGGGGCGGGTGGTGGCGGGGTGGGCAGCTGCAGGCGGGACTTGGAGAACAGTGACAGCTCTGGCGGGATTTACCGCCAACAAAGGAAAAGTCCACGGTTCCCCCAGGAGGCGAGAGGAAACCCAGAGCTCTCTGAAGGAGGAAGGGCCTGTTCCCCAGGGATGGTCAGAGCGGGTCACAGCCAGTCCCTGGATCAGGAGCTGGGGGGCCTCCCTGTGTCGCCCCCAGGACCCTCCCAGGGGACTAGCATCACACTGGGTCCGAGACGGCACAGGCACCGTGTCCACGTGGGTTGCCACCAGCCCAGGACAGCACCGACGCAGAGCCCATTGTGTCCGCTGTGTCCTGGGGGCTCAAGTCCCTCCGACCAGGGGCTCCGTGTGCGGGTGCCAGCCCTGGAGAGGAGGGGAGACAGCAGGCCAGCCCCCAGCAGGCTTCTCTCCCCCAGGTTCCCCAAGGGGCTCAGGGGCTGGAGGGGAAGTCATAGCCGCCTGGTTGTGGTACTGAAGTCACCCCTCTATCTCACTGCCGTTGGACACAAGTGGAAACAGCGGCCTGCCGGCTGCCCCATCTGTCCTTTGTCTCCCTGTCCCAGCCCCACAGGGCCCAGGGCCTGGACAGCCCCCCCCCCCACCTCCCACTCCTCGCCTTGCTCCTGGCCGGCAGCTCTGCTCTGTGCGTGGCGTCGGGTGTCCGCTCTGGACCATTCCCTCTTTCCGCCTCTAGGATCATGGCCAGGAGTCTGGGCCGAGGGGTGTCCCGCCCCAAAGGCATTTCGCTCCACGAAGTGCCTCTCCTGTGCGGGTTCTGTCCTGTAGGGTATAGATGTGCTCCCTCTTCCGCTGGGGAGCTCCCCTGGGCACCCGTCACCACCACACAAGTCCTCATTTCCTGTCTGTGTGTGCGTTTGCATCATCAAATTCCTTGAAAGTAGGATTTACGTACAGCCACTGTAGTCCATCACACATCACTCACTCCCCATTTTCCAAGAGGGTGACTCTGAACCCCAAATACCCCAATGTCCGGGGGCCTTTGCCACGCCTTCAACCTCTGTTCCTGCGAGGCCCTCCATGGGGGCTTCCTTCACGGCCTGTCCCTCCTGCCGTCTGCTCCCCCGACAGGACAGTCGAAGGACTATGTGTGCTTCTGGCTGCTTTTCCCCGACCGGAGCTCCTTGTACTCCACCGGCTGGGTTCCGTGTCCCGTCGCTCCTCGGGTTGCTAAGGTGACTTTGAGCTGGGAGCCTCGCCAACTACACACGGAATGAGACTCGCAAGTGGACGGAGCCAAGCGCATCACAAGAACCCAGAACGGGAGCGTCATTTCTGTCTGGTAGACCCGGGCAGGTTTCCTGAAGGAGGAACACTTGGGCCAGAAGGGGCAGGGTTTCTTCGGCCACACGAACCCTGGGCGGCAACACGGCCGTGAGAACGGGCAGATACACGGAGGAGCGGGAGTGCCGGGCGCTCAGAGGACACCGACGTCTGTCAGTTTCATACGTGAAAAAGGAGGTTGGATGGCGGGTGATGGATATTTTATTGTCAGAAGCACAAATATGACGGTGCATTTTCCCCAGTGCT